TTTTGGGCCTTTCATAAAACTGATGTAGCTCAGTTAAAAAAACGTCGTAGAGAGCTCGGAGACGTCTTATTTTGTAGAGAGTTAGTTGTTCTATTTCTCTATCTGATTAAAACAAACTTTTATTATCGTGTTCTGAATACTAAAAACATAGCTTTTTGGTTTTCTGGAGACCCTGGATTTGGGAACATAGTAAGAATTTTATTTTCCTCAAATATTTGTTGGAAACAATTTTCTTTGTCAAAATCACTATCTGAATTCTTCATATTAGTTACCATTACAGAAAAAAATCGAAATTACATCTGTATGATCAATGTTTGGAGCCACTGTATAGGTTGATAATTGTAAGTTACGTAAAATGTTTCTCTATTTTCAGAATACAACTGTAGCAAGTCTTCTTACAAGTAAAATTTATCATACTGCTGGTCAGTTGACAAGAGAATTTGATACAAGAACAGAGTTTAAGAAACGAGAAAGGTGTAGAATATATATATATATCATACTCTTGTTGTTATATTATACTTATTTGAAATACTTCTTTAGAGAATTTGATGTCCATGCGTCAAAAATAATTGATTTATGCTTTATCGAAGATGAAGATTTTGCTCTTGAATTATTAACAAGAAAATCAGAAATATTATTTAATTATTATCCTCTACAATTAGCTAAAGAAAACAATTGTCGATCATTTCTTGCTACGAAATGTGTACAAAAATATCTTGACGTTCAATGGTATGGAGAAATAGACGATCATGGACACGATAAAAAGTTAATTAATTTTGTGGTAAAAACTATTGCTGATTATTACATAACACATCATATCTCATATAAATTTTAGATATTCATACTCTGTCTTTTTCCATTTCTTATTCCATTTCAATATTTTCACTCATTGTTATCATCCAATAAACAGAAAAAAACAAAGTAAATTGTTCATATTTCATGAAATGTAGCTGCTAAATCAATTTATTATTTATTTAGTTCATCTACAACAAAAAATCTTTCTTGGTTGTCAAAAGTGTGGGATAGATATAACCGATTTTACACAGGCAGAGCGATTGTTCGATTCTATTACAATATTGTAAGACTCTACCTTTTAGTTTCAGTTATGAATGAATAGTTATGAATTCTTCTACTTTTAGATATTTTACACAGTATTTTTACTTTTATTTAGTTTTGTTCTCTTAGTCGATTATTTTCCATTGAATATCAACGGCGGTAAACGTAGTGGTTATTCATCAATTTCTATTCCAATAACGGAGATATTTTTGCATATTTGTATGTGGAGTCTCATTGTTGAAGAAGCAAGAGAAGTAAGTCAGATTATCTAACAACTTCATAAAACTTAATTATGTTATTTTATTTAGTTTTACGATCATTGTGATGAAGAACGTTTAGGTTACAGTTCAAATATTCTATTGAAATTTTACACAGATGATAAATGGAATGTATTAGACTTAATGGCAATTATCTTCTATATTGTCGCATTCATTACAAGATTCATTGTAATCGAATCCGTATTTGTTGTTTCAAAGTATGAGAATTTTAGACTATTAGATGTATAGTGTAATGAGACAGTAGAACATAACGTTTGAAATGGCTGCTCATTATCTTCTCTTATGCGTTTTTTGTATTCTTATGCTAGTTTCTGAGTTCTAGGATATGTATGTGTATTGATTTATTCTTATGGTGTGTTCGAATATTGCATTTATTTGCAGCATATAAAAGAGTAGGACCAAAACTCTTGATGATATTCAATACTGTAGGTGGTGAGAGAAATATCAAAAAATATATATTAATATAATTATCCAATTTCAGATGAAAGATTTGTTATTCTTCATCTACTTTATCCTCATTTTTCTATTTGCATACTCGGTAACTTCTTATTCTTTGATAACAACTGATCATCAGGTGATATGGTTAGATAGTAGAAATTTTATTCTCATTCAAAATGGATCAGGTTTGTGGAACTGGAACATATTGAGAAATGTCATTGATTGGGGAATGTGGAAAATATATGGACAAGTGGAACTTATTGACCATCAACAAGCTGATAATACAACTCTCTCAGGTACACGTTTTATGAAGTTCATAAGATTAGAAGTAAAAATTCTTGATGATTCCTTGTCATTTTCAATATATCTAGCAAAGTGAAAGTATGTACTGATAGATTTCTTGCTTTAGCCACAAACAATGCATATGGCACAGTGGCGTTTTTACTCACAATCTTCTTTGTTTGTATAGCAAATGTATTATTGTTAAATGTTTTAGTGGCACTATTCAAGTATGGAGTGAGCCCTAAAACTGTTTTCAGCAGAACGTTTCCTTCACTCTGTTCTTAGTGTGACGCTTCAACGTGTCAATTTGGATGCTCATCAAAGATGGGCTTATCATCGTTTTTTGTTAGTTAATGAATATAGTAAGAAATCAGTATTACCACCACCAATAAATGTATTCTCATACGGTCTTACACCGCTAGTCAGACTAACGAGTCTGATCGTAAGACAATGTTCAATTAGTAAGTTATAGTCCCTCTGTAAACCATTCCTACACTTCTGTCTTTCTCTTAACAGAAAATGACGTTGATGTAATTCAATCCTCAGAGACAATGAATCCTGTAGAACAAGGAGAAACTCGTAAGATGGTTCCCAATATGCAAATTTGTCAAACATATTGTGTTTATTTTCTTTGTAGAAACAAATAAATTTAAAGAACGTGATATGATGTTACGAGAAAGTAGTATAGCAGAAGATTACTGGAGTGAAAAAGTTTCGGAGATTATGCAAGAAGAAAAGAAAGAGCATTCTACAAACACGAAACTACCATTAAGTAAGACCGTACAACTGATCCAAATTAGATTTGTTCCTAAGTGTGGATAACTGCATCGGAGAGTGTAGTAGGATTCTATATCATTTTCCGAGCGCCTAGCGTGTGGTCTGTAAAACGGACGTAATCTTCCATATGTACCAAAAAAAGGATGTACCATATCTCGAGAAAAAAGTTCTGTAGAGAAATTACTTATCATTATGAGATTAGGCATTATTAGTGGCAAGTGTTATAGAAAATTCTATTTTTGAAATGAAGATGAGATTTTTGCACAAAGTTTCCACGATGAACAGCTCATAGAAATATTATTCTATACCAAGGGGGAAACGCACTACAAGGCAAATGCACCCATTCCGGAATACGTCAAATGTGGAATGCCATTTTTTAGAAGTCTAACTTAGCTGTATGTAGACCAAGATTTGGATCAAAACTGAAAATATTTCTTTTATTCCGGAATGGGAGTCCACCATTTCAGAGTGACATTCCGCCATTCCGGAATGGTATTCCAGAAATTTTGTACCCATTCCGGAATGTGCTTTTACCCCTTGTTCTATAGCAGAATTATTACCCGGCAGGCAGACCGGCCGCTCTGGAAAGATTTTCAAACCGGCCGGTGATTGACAGGTCTTTTGCCGGTTTTGAAATTCTTAGCATTTTTCTCTTCTTCACTAAAAAAATGAATTTTTTTACCCTCTTGTCCTTCTGGAAAATATTTGAAAACTGGCCGTTCTTTTGCCGGTTTTTCACCAGTCTAAACTGAATTTTGGACTGGCCGGTCGGTCTGGCCTCTTATTTTTAGACTGGTTACAACTCTGTTCTATACTTAAGTAGGTGGAACGTTAACAATACAACTTGTGATTGTCACTGCAGTCATGTTCATTATATATTCGTACTCTGCATAATGTTTTCACATAATGGAATAGGGAATGAATATCTAATGGATAGGATTGTATTAAGCAGAAAATTCTCTATGTTTTTAGCGTTGAATAGAGTCTTCGATCTTTATTTCAACGCCTGATTATTAGGAAATAAAAGTGTGCCATGATTCACATGTTATCTATGTTCTGTTTTTAACAATAACTCATAACTCAGTCGACATACTATTCTATTCAAAACAGTAAAATCTGTATACTAAATAACTTTTGAAGGAAGAAAAGTCACAGACTCGTCGTTCTTACAAATCGATAGAGAAGAGATGAGATGTCCTTTCAAAACCAAAAATAGTTATTTTCGAAGTAGGATTTTGAGAAAACCTTCAAAAAACCAATCTTCTTTCCAATAGTTCTCTAAAATCGAAGTGGTAGTATAGTGTTTTTTTCATGAGTAGATAGCCCAAAGTGTTTAAAATGGGAGTCGAGCAAGATCTTGATTTTCAGCGATAAGGACGTTGTATCAGACTTAAAAATTGAGATTTCAGTCAAAATACATTATAATGACTTGAAAACTTCGGAATGTACGTTATGATATTGAGGCTATTCGATACTCAATTGATAAAAAATCTACAAAAAGTTTGACAAAACTTTAAAGTATTCCAAAACAACTTTTAGTAGATTAATTTTGAAAGATGAAACTGCACCTTTTCTCGTGAATTGTAGAGTCCAATACTGCCCTTTGATCCGTTAGGTATGATTCGGGCGTATGTGTGTACATTTGAAGCAATGCGCACAATTGAGCCTTAGAGAATTGGAACAAGAAAGGCCACTTGAACTAGTTAGCAGTCTACACCAATCGAATTATTTGGTCCGGTATTTTTGCCGGTTTCCACTGAATGAATTGTTTAAAAAGATTAATATTTTTGATAAAAAGAAAATTAAAAAGTCAAAAAAGGTCAGCTTGGATGGAGCGGGTCCTCGTTCTACCGGGAAAAACGCAACCATTAAAAGATGCTGTATCTTATATTTAAACGGTCGGTTTTTACAGGCTAAAATTGCATTTTCAGCGATCCATTGCCGGTCGTCTCGGTCTACTTTAAAAATTCTCAATCAATTCCAACTCTGAAGTCCGCTTAGATGAAGAAGAAGTGATATAAAAACAAGTGAAAATCTACATTACCCACTGAAAAAAATAATTAAAATTCATGTAGGATCCCGCAAGATTTTATGCAGAAGTCCTGCGGATTGTGTGTGCTAAAATATCCGGCGAGGTTTCTCACTTTTGCGCAGGAGTTTTATTCTATCAACACCGACAGAACCCTGCATAGTTCATGTAGGATTAACGTGGAAAAATCCTGCGCAACGGTAAGAAACATCTTCGGATAACTTTAACACATATAACTCGTAGGCTTTTTGCGCAAACCCCTGCGAAATTTTATTCTGAAAAAAAAACGGTTTCTTTCATCGCATTGTAAACATATGTATAAAATGAGATGAGAGATGCATTTTCCAACGTTTGAAATCATGTGACGGTAAACTGAATTGAAATATTTTATTTATATCAAACCGGAACAATTAAAAGAAAAAGTTTGTTTTTATTTAAATGAAAATGAGTGGATCTTTGTTCGGCCCTGGAATTTGCTCGAATGTTCTTGGAGAACGTTTCGAAATATATCCCGATCGCTATTTCGCCGCTACTACAAATTGTTTCATTTTATACCAACTTTGCTATATATAGTTGTAGAGAATAGTCTGGTATACCATCCTGATTAGTACCAAATTTTTTCAAATGAGAAACAGTGAAATTACGCAAAAAACTTCGTGGACTAACTTTTTACTCCTTAAAATACTCGCTATATCAAGCTTCTTTTCTTTTCTAATTATTTGTACTTCTTCAAAGGCAATCAATCGTCGTGTTTCGAAAAAATTATTTATTTATCAAGCTAGCAACAATACATTTAAGGCAAAAAGAGATTATTTCTTTTATAGTTCATTCTACTGTCATACTATTTAGACTTTTTTAAAACAAAATATTTTTCCTATACAAGCAAAATATAATAGTGTCATGCTTTTTATTATGAAAGTAAAGATTTATGCGAAAAGGATCTAAAAGAGACAGTCGGAATCACATT